CCCCCCCAGTCATTCCCGGGGACACACACACAAACGTGCCTTGATAAAGGGGTGACAGGTTGGGGACGAGTCCCCCCCCGCTCCCCTCCTGCTCCCCCCAAAGGGGTCGGGGGGCTCTTGGGGGTGGGGGCTGTCCCCAAGGCTGCCCCCATCTCCCAGCTTTAATCCACTGTCACCCCTTCATTCCGGGGGGGCCGGGGCCGGTTCTCTATGCAGTGTGGGGGGGTCCTGGGGGGACTGCCTCCCCCCAAACTGGCAATAATTCTCTCCCTGTTTGATCTCGTCCCATCTCTGTTCTATTTTAATTTGGGGGGGGAGGGGGAGGGGGGATTGGTTTTTACAAATCCGGTGGCTGATGTCATAAAACCCCCAAAAGGTTGATTTTTTGGGGGTGATTTTTTTGGGTCCCAAAGTGCTATTTTTTTGTACAAAAGACTTAGATGAAAATTGTTAGTTTTGGGGGGCTCCTTTGTAAATGGGGAACGACGAGTTCTTTTGTAATAAACACGAGTCGCTGGCGTTGTCTGGAAGTCTGCGGGGGGGGTGGTTTGGGGGGGGGGGGGGTGGGTTGATTTGGAGGGGGGGGGAGGCACAGCTGGTTTTATGGGGGGTCAGGGGTGCAGTCCCAGAGCGGGAAGCTGAGGCACAGCACCAGTGGGACTGTGGGGATAGGGGACACTGAGGCACAGAGCTCGATTTGGGGGCTGGCAGGGCCTTGGGGGGTGTTGGGGCTGTGGGGACAGGGGACACTGAGGCACAGAGCTTGATTTGGGGGACTGGGGCTGTGGGGATGGGGGAGACTAAGCCACAGAGCTCGATTTGGGGACTGGCGGTGCCTTGGGGGGGTGTTGGGACTGTGGGGACAGGGGACACTGAGGCACAGAGCTCGATTTTGGGGGGCTGGAGCTGTGGGGCTGAGGGAGACTGAGGCACAGAGGTCGATTTGGGGTGTTGGGGCTGTGGGGACAGGGGACACTGAGGCACAGAGCTCGATTTTGGGGGGTTTTGTCGGGGTGCCAGGTGATGCAGGGCGGGGGGCCAGGGCTGGCTCCCCACCAGGACTGGCTCACTCCTCCCTGGTGCGGGGGCAGCACCTTCCTCCTCCTCCTCCTCCTCCTACTCCTTCTCCTTCTTCTCCCCGGGCCGCTCCACTTCCCACCGGCCCCCGCACGCTCCGGCCCGCGGAGGCTCCCATGGGGCGGCCAGGTGGGTGCTGGGGGGCCCCAACCCGGCTGGAGGGGGGGTGTCTTTTTTTGGGGGGCTGAGAGCCGCCACCCACCCGTGTGTGTCCCCCCCCCCCAGGCCCCCGCAACCTGAGCTGCGTCTCCTACAAGCACCCGAGCGTGCGGGGCGGGCTGGGGGGCGCGGGGGGGGGCGGCGGCCGGGGCCGTGCGCTGCCCCCCCGGGCAGTGCTGCATCGGCATCTGGAACCGCAGCCACGCGCTGGTGCAGGGTGAGACCCCCCGGGCTGGGCGGGGGTCGGGGGGCTGCGGGGGATTGGGGTCCTGCCCCGGCGGGATTTTGGGGCTGGGGCAGGATGGAGGGTCCTGCCCTCGGGGGGATGGGGGGGGGGGGCAAGGGGGCTCGGCCCGCCCGGGGGGGGGGTGGGGGGAGGGGGGGGGGGCTGGGGCAGGGAGCGGGGGCTGAGCCCACCCTGGGGGGGGGCTTTGGAGGAGGCTGCTGGTCCCTCCCCAGAGCCTGCGCTTGACCTTGGCCTTGAGAAGTGGCTGCGGCGGCGCTGGGAGGGAGCGGCTGCGGGGGGGTCCCGGGCAGGGGAGTGCCAGGCGTGAGGGGTCCCGGAATAGGGGGGCTCCCAGGGAAGGGGGGGACTGCCAGGGAGGGGGAGTGCCAAGTATGGGGGGTCCCAGAATAGGGGGGTTCCCGGGGAAGGGGGGTGGGTGCCAGGGAGGGGGATTGCCAGGCATGAGGGGTCCTGGACAGGGGTGTCCCACCTGTCCCCCTGCCCCATCCCCGTCTCGAGGTGCCCCCCCCAGCACCTCCGGGGTGCCCCAGTGACGGTGACACTGTCCCCAGGCTGCTGGGGAGGTGGGGGGGCCGCCTGCCCCTCGCCCACCTGCACCCCCAGCCCCGCGGGACCCCCCGGAGGTGCCGTCCTCGTGTGCCTGTGCCACGGCCACCTCTGCAACGGGAACACCACGGTGACAGGGACGGGCACGGGCGTGGGGCTGGGGGGGCCCCACCAGGGCCCAGGTACGGGGGGAGCACTGGAGGGGGGGCGGGTGGGACACACCGGGAGGCGGGGGGGTTCTGGAGGACACTCGGGGGTGGGACTGAGGACACACGGGAGACTGGGGGGACCCACGGGGAACCCTGAGACGTTCAGGGGACCCACGGGTGGATGTGGGACCCATGGGGGGATGGAGGCACAAATGGGGGGGTGGGACCCATATGGGACTTGGGGGGGACCTGGGACCACAGGGGACCTGGGGGGGACTTGGGGACCCATGAGGGGGCCCTGGGACTCACGGGGGTCTGGGGAACCCACGGTATCCCCTAAAAAGGCCCCCCATCCCCACCCTGGTTGCCTGGGTCCCCTCCAGGTGGGGGGGCCCTGTGTCACCTCAGCCTCTGTCCCCAGTGCCCGGCCGGGGGGGGTCCACGGGGACCCTGTGGCTGTGGGGGGCCGGCCCCCTCCTCCTCATCCTCCTCACCTGCCTGGGCATCCTCGGTAGGGATCGGGACACGGGGGGCATGGGGGGACCCCCGGGCACAGGCACCCGTGTCCCCTGGGTGTCCCCAAATGCCACATCCTTGATGTCCCCAGGGTGCGGGTCTCCTGGGGTGGGTGGGTGGGGTCCCCAAGTGTTGTGTCACCCTGTCCCTGGGGCAGGGGGGTCCCTGCTATCCTGGGGACCCCTGGGTGGGTGGGTCCCAGGTGGGGTGTCCCCAGGATGCAGGAGCCCCCAGATGTGGGGATCCCCCTGTCCCCCCAGGCAGGGGGTCCCTGATGTCCCCAGGCCCTGTGTCCCTGACTGGGGGGGTTCCTGGGTGGGGGGTCCCCGGGTGGGGGTGTCCCCGGTGTCCCCCATGTCCCCCATCCAGGGCTGCGACGGACAAGGGCCCACACGGGGCAGCCACCCCGGGGGGGGCGGAGAATCGGGGTCCCCCCGGAGCCCCCCAGCCCCGACCTGCCTGCGCTGCACTTCCTGCAGGTACAGGGCACTTGTGGGTGGGGGACACCCAAGGGGGGGCACCCAATGGGGGGGAAGCCACTGGGAGGGGGCATCCATGGGCAAGGGGCATCCAACGGGGGGGCATCCAAGTGGGAGGGCAGTTAAGGAGACTGTACTGGGGGGTCACTCATGGAAATGTGTGAAGGGATTAGGGGGGTACCCATGGGGGTGGCACAACGAAACATAAGGCTGACAGTACCGAGGGGTGCCCAGGGTGTGGGACACCGGGACAGGGCACACGAAGGGGTTAAGGGGGCACCCGTGGGGGTGGCACAATGAAACACAGGGCTCAGAGTGCCCGGGGGTGCCCAGGGTATGGGGGACAGCAGGACTGGGCACACCCGTGGGTGCCTGGGGATGAACATCCCTGGGTGTTGGGGTGCCCGGGACTGGGGACACCCCGACAATCCCGACTGTGTCCCTTCCCCTGGGGCAGGTGCTGCAGTCGGGGCGGTTCTCGGCGGTCTGGAGGGGGACCCTTCGCCAGCGGCCCGTGGCCATCAAGGCGTTCGCGGCGGGGGCTCGCGGGCGCTTCGCGGCCGAACGGGCCGTGCACGCCCTGCCCCTGATGGAGCACGAGAACGTGGCCCGGCTGCTGGGCACGAGGGGCGCCGGGCCCCGCGCCCGCGGGGGGCTGCTCGTCCTGCAGCTTTACCCGGCCGTGAGTCCCCATGGGGGGCACGGGGGAGGGGGGCAGCGGCTTGGGGGGTCAGGGGAGTGTGCGAGGCTCAGGGGGTGCTCAGAGGGTGCAGAGGTTGCTGGGGGCTGCACAGGTGTGCCTGGGCTCTGTGGGGGGGTGGACAGGTGTGGACAGGTGTGCCCCGGCTGGGGGGGTGCACAAGTGTGTACAGGTGTGTACAGACTGTACAGATGTGCCCAGGTGTGCCCGAGTGTGTACACATGGGCAGAGGTGTCCCTGGGCTGTGGGGGGTTGCACAGGTGTGTACAGGTGTGTACAGGTGTGGCTGGCCTGGGGGTTGTGGTATACAGGTGTGCCCAGGTGTGTACAGGTGTGCACAGGTGCGCCCAGGCTGTGGGGGGTTGCATAGGTGTGCACAGGTGTGCACAGGTGTGTACAGGTGTGCACAGGTGTGTACCAGAGTGCATAGTCTGTGTGGTTGTGCACAGGTGTGCCCAGCCTGGGGGGGGTGCACAGGTGTGCACAGGTGTGTACAGGTGTGCCCAGTCTGGGGGAAGGGATGCACAGGTGTGCACAGGCCATGGAGGTGCCCACCCCAGTCGGGCCCCTGCTGTGCACACCCCATAACTCAAGGTGCCCCAACCCCCTTGGGGGGGGACGAGGGGGAAGGGCTGCCCCACGTGCCCACCCGTGTCCCCCCCATGTCCCCAGGGGTCCCTGCGTGACTTCCTGGGGCAGCACGTGGGCACGTGGGCGGGCAGCGTGCGCCTGGCGCTGTCCCTGGCCCGTGGCTTGGCCTTCCTGCACCAGGAGCTCTGGCGTGACGGTGAGCGTGGCCCCCCTGCCCCAAGCTCTGCCGGGGGGTCCCCCCACCCTGTCCCCCACCCACCCTGATCCCCCCCCCGTCCCCCCTGTGCCCCCCCAGGGCTGTACAAGCCCAGCGTGGTGCACCGGGACCTGAGCAGCCAGAACGTGCTGGTGCGGGAGGACGGGACCTGCGCCATCGGGGACTTCGGGCTGGCGCTGGCGCTGCCACCGCGCGCCCAGGACGGCACCGGGGCACAGCACAACGTGGCCATCCACAAGGTGGGGGGGTGGGGGGGGATGGGGTGGGATGGGGTGAGGTGGGATGGGATGGGATGAAGTCAGATGGCACAGGATGGGTCATGATAGAGTGAGACAGGATGGGTTAGGATGGGAAGGGAAGGTGACAGGCCAGGGATGGGGATGGGATGGGAAGGGAAGGGAAGGCAAGGGATAGGGATGGGATGGGATGGGATGGGATGGGATGGGATGGGATCGGACATGATGGGGTGGGAGAGGATGGGGATGGGATGGGATGGGACGGGACGGGACGGGACAGGACAGGACAGGATGGGATGGGAAGGGATGGGACATGATGGGGTGGGAGAGGATGGGGATGGGATGGGATAGGATGGGATGAGACAGGATGGGACAGGACAGGATGGGATGGGAAGGGATGGGAAGTGAAGGTGACAGGCTGGAGATGGCACCCCCC